AGTAATTTTAACCAACATTTTTAACTAGTTTTATTAATGATTTTAATCTACAATTTATATTAATATCAGTTTTATCATGTGACAAAACCCAAAACATAGTAATGTTAAAACGTTATGTCGGCATCACTAATACGTACATACCTGCCAAAAGATTGTATCTGTTGTGCCTCAAATTGATTTTCACCTCAGGTGATAACTGAAGCACCTCAGGTATTGATCGTTTGGCCAGCATTAACTGATCGACATTAATTGGCCTAAACTATAACCTAATCCTTACTCTAACCCTAACTCTAATTCAGGCCAATCGACACCTGAGGCAAGAATTGATTTGGATTATTAGGAGTCGACTAAGCCAGTTTTTGAAAAAATCGACTGACTTAGCCAGCTAAGTTGACTAAGTCAACTAAAGTGCTATCGATTTAGATCACTATACACCAGATCTTGAATTCTGGTTGGCTGGTGAAATAGTAGCGAAATTTTTTTCTTGGCCTAGACTAAGTTCAAAATTTGGAACGGTGTCGATTATGTGCTTGTAGCATGATAGAAATTTGTTTTGATTAGATACTTATTTTATATGACAAAATATTGTTAAACGAGATGTTTATATTATTTTACAATAGAAAATTTTAAATTAAAATAGCTATATCGAAATTTTTATATTAAAAGCGCCCTGAAATTTTGTCAGAAGGTTTTTTAGACGCTTAACTCTCATATAAAAGTTTGGTTCAAGTGGGATCAAGTGTTCCACCAACTTTCATTAGGAGCGATTCTGACATTACAAGCATGTAGTACGTTAACAATATTATGTACTTTTTAACTTTCCAAGAGTAATAATTAATAAAAATAATATTTCTTTTGAATAGATGTTTCGAATTTCACGTGAGCAAGAAGATAAAAATCAATCGTTTCACAAAATCAAATCCTTGGGAAAAATTCTTTTAATTTTGGCCAATCAAAGTTTTTGTTGATTAGCCAATCAAAACAAATTTCCATCATGCTTGTCGTATGACTATTTATACCTGAAATTGAAATAAATCGCGTCTTATTTGTTATCGTTATGTTGTATTATCACGTCTTATTTGTTGTTGTATAGGTTGCTGAAGGCGAGTATATTTGGATTTTTTTTTTTTTGAATAGGCTCCGCAAACATAATGCCCTGGTACTATTTTTGATATGGCACCTATTTTTAAATCAAATGTTGCTGGGATGGGGCTTTTGCTAGGCTTTTGTGCTCATCGTTGCCATCACGAGCCAACGGGAGGTACCCACAAATAGCTGAATTGAATGCGCTTTGCCAGGCTTTTGTTGCCATCACGAGCCAATGATTGCACTGACATAGCAATAGGAGTGTGGTCTCCTGCATTTGGACGTTCCAGTTTCGCTTAAAAGTCCACTGATTTCAAATGAGGAATTTGTTATGTAATAAATCTTTTTTACTTTCATGTATCTAGATCTTAACGAATTAGGAAAATTACGATCTTAAGAATGTAATCAGAATCATTCGATTCAGTTGTCCCTCCCAGTAACAATATAAGTATAATTATTGTCGCAGCTGAAGCTGGAAATTATGTAACGAAGGTACGTCATATGATGCGTCGTTTTATTTATTTTTTTAAAAAAAAATTTTAACACAACAAACGTAGCACTAAAATGTAGCACAGGTAGTCATAACGAACATTAGAATGGTAATTAGAAGGAATGTAGCACGGTAGCCAGAATAAACATAGCACGTTGGTTAGCACGGTACGTACTTAGAACTGGACGTAGTACGGTAATAAGAATTGGACACAGCATGATTGTTAGAGCTAGACATAGCACGGTTGTTAGAACTAGACATAACATGGTTGTTAAAAAGACGTAGCATTGTTGTTTAGATTCTGGACGTAACACAGTAGTTAAAACTGGACGTAGCATTGAGGTTGGCGATATACTATTTAAATCAAAACTATATGTAGTATCATATAAAAATTTATTATCGAATTTTTTTGTGTAACAGCATAGATCCAACAGTACGGCAAATATGTTTATTATCATTATTATTAATTACAATAATAAAAATAAAAAATGCTTTAATTATTTTAGATTGTTAATAACAGCCCACATATTTAAAAGATTTAATACTAGCATAATAAGTCTTTAAAAAGATCTGAGGCAATATTGGATCCAAATTGTGGTGTATTAATTTCTTGTAATGGAAAATTTTTTCGGTTTTTTCGTATCTCTTTTAGTTCTTTCGATAAATTTTTTTTATCAATGTTGATCGAAGACAAATGAAGCTTAGACTGCTTAACTGGCAATGACATGTTTGGGTGGGTTTTCAAATCTAATTTGTTGAAAAGGCCCTCTACTTGTTGTTGATGAATAATTATGAAATATATTCGGGTCTTGACAAAGTTATATAAATATGGATAATTGTATATTAATGGTTTATCATCAGCGCAGAATTGCTCAAATTCTCTAAAGAAGTTTTCATTTTGTAACAATAACTCTCGTAGGCCCAAGTCATCAGTTATTCCATTATTTAGATCATTTTCAAGCTCTGCCACAAATTGTAATTCTAAGTTTGTTGGTAACTTAATCCACGGTTTTTTTAAAACCACATAGTAGAAGCTAGAAGCAAAAGATTGAGCATTGTTACCACCTAAACGACAGACAACTAGTGGCAAATGAAGCCAAGATAAGAACCATTTCTCAAAATATTCTAATGCTTTATTAATCTCTAGCTCTAAATCATTAAAAAATGTTCCGAATTCCTCATTAGATAAAGATTCCAAAGCTTCTAACAATTCATTAGCGAAAAACATTTCAAAATTCATAGCAACATCCTTAAGAAACTTATGCCATTCATAAACTTTATCAACCATTTTGTAGGCACGTTTGCCGGGAGGTAATTTAGTTAGTTGTCCATGTTGATAAATTCGTAAAACTGGATCCTGATCAGTTACAAATTGCATTAGCGGCTCATAGAAATGTTCTGCAAAAGTTATCAGGCATTTAATTTGAATATTTAACTTCGGATCAAGAAGCCAGGTATGAAAAGGCACCAGTCATTAAAATACTGTTTTGGAACTTTATGACTTTTCATTTCATTGATAAATCAACTTGCAAACTCAATATGTAACAAATGTCAATTAAGGTAAAAATTCGACCCGCTTATCCGCCAACCCGTGACCTGTGATTTTAAAGTCTAACCCGAAGTTATACTTAACCGGTTAACCCGGTTAATGGTTATTCATATTTTTTTTACTTTTTGTCAAAGCGAAAATCTGTAATCTACAAATCAAAACCTCGAAAATATAATTTTAATACACCATATAATGATAATATATTTTGTGCTTACAGCTGTTTTTATAAATTCCGGGACACCTGATAAAAATTTGCTGAATGATTTTTCGGCCGATTCAATTAAATTATTGATTTTGGTGTATATTTTTACATGTAAGATAATTTTTCATTATAAGGTATGCATGCTGTCGCATTAAAATCAGAAACATAAACAACAATATTTATAATTATATATGCCAATTCTTATATTATATCATAAAGCTTTTGATTAGATTTAGCATTATAACCTAATTTTGAAATTTTCTTCATTTATTTTGTTGCAATATAGAGTTTCGCATTATGATTTTATCAAATGACATAGTTTGTAAATTATAGATCGCTAAATCGATATAAATAATTTGAACCTAAAATGAAAGGTTTAATAGTATTGTAACTAAAAATTGCATATATAGGTAGTCTGCAAACCCATTCCAACTTATAATTAAATATGATTAGTGTAATACCAATAATTGATAATAAAATATTCTGATTAAATATAAATGAAAACTTTATATTTTTTAATAAAATAAAACTCAACACATTAAAAATTAAGATAATGATCTATTTTTATAAAAATTTTTCAAATCATTTAAATGATTTATATGATATATTGCATGATCACTGGTAAATTGAATCGTATGATTGTATTTGATTGGCAATCACTTATCTTAGTTATAAATTGCTTATGAATCGCTTATAAAACTGCTTATAAAACTGCATAATTCTAAAATACCGGCTTTGCAAAATTTCTGCCAGTATTATTGCATTATTTGATTTAAATATATAATTTTGAATTGTAACTCTTCAATCTACCAAAAATTAACTACAAAATTACAAATTACATAAAACAAAGTGCGTAAAATTATGTAATTTTACATTCCTAATCACAAGAAAACTTTTATATATCAATTATCCAATATAAATCGATTATCCAGAAAGTTTTTTATAAAGCTAATTTTATTATAAAAATAATTTCAAGATAATTTCATTCATGATAATTTTAAAATAAATTATTTTGTATAACTTAATGATGATCAGTGATTCCAATCGAAAACATGCACTACTCACAATGTATTCATTTCTTTTTCCATACTGTCAATTGAGCTTACCTTCTAATAAATAGTCACACAATATTCTTATTTTATTGATATTTACACAGCCTCTACTGCAAAATTGTTATCTATCTTTTTTAGCCTTGTTTATATTAAAAATTATTCTGATATTACCCAAATAATAGAAAAACATATATATATATACATACATACATATATTACATAGAAAAGCCTGTAACACATTTCTGAATTGATTATCCTTATATAGGGTTTGATGATTACGCAGAACTCAAAGGGTTGAAAATGTGTGAAGTTGGCAATTTTGTTATCTATTGAGAGGAAAAAAAGTCAATAAACTCAATTAGATCTCAATTTCAATAGATAAGTATCTATTAAGTTCATTGATTTCATTAAAATTCTTCATTAAGGCAAAATATAAAATATTTATACGATCACAAAATCTTGATAATTTTAATGATGTAGTAGGCGTGTACTATTGATTCTATCGAAATTTGCCATTAGATCTATTGCCAATTCTAAGAATCATGATAAAAATATTAGTAATTTCGCAAAGCTTAATGATTCGATGATATAAATATTTGTAGCATTATAGTGAAAATAAAGATGGTGTCCAGCATATCAAAAAAAAAGCACAATTAACCGAAATATATTTAAATAGTGTGTTTTTTCTAAATTCAAAATTCATTAACAAAACCTTAACTATTAAATAACGAATAGATAATAAGAATTCTAAAATATACCTTTCATATATATTTAGTATTAGTTTCTTGAGTTATAGAATTTGTAAACTATATAATAAGTTATAGTTATTGTATGAGTTATAAAAAATAACTAAATTTGCACAGGGTTACATGGCCGAAGGCTATGCCGTACAAATTTAGTTATTTTAAACCCATATAATAACTATTTTATTGCACGGTGTCTGACGTAGCAATCCCATGCCAATAAGTAAATGAAAAAAGCACAGGTTGTTACATAAGACCCGTGCAATAAATATTCGTTTTGGTATTAATAAAGAAACTTAGTATTAAATGTTATTTGCATCAAAACTTTAAATATTATTACTATACTATTACCTTATATTTACGAATCATTACATAGTCTTTTATTCAAATATTGTTTTGTATATAGTTTATTATATAAAGAATAGATTCTCAAGAAGAATATAGTTCAAGCATTCAAAAAATTATTGATACTAATGAAAGCGATAGTGAAAATAATAGTGATAGTATACTTCCTTCAACAACTATATCAACCAATACTAAAAAAAAAATCAAAAAAAGAAAGATTAAAAGTCGAAAAAGTTTTGTGTGTGATTATTTCAAAGTAATTGGAAGTAAATATGTATGCCAAATTATAATTAAAAAATATGTAATTGATAAAAAATGTGAAGCTGAATATCTTCATGATAATTCTATATCAAATATGATTGTACATCTACAATCATCACATAATATTGTTGATCCCAAAAAATTAAATGCTGAAATTCAACGAGCACAGCAAACTATATTACCTAAAATAGTTAAAAATGATATTCCATACAAAGGCAATAAACTTGATGAATTAAACAAGACAGTTGTTGAATGGATAATTCTTGACAACCAACTATTATCAGCACCAAGAAATAAAGGTTTTCGTCATATGATAGCAAAAGTTGATCAAGATTTCGTCCACCTTCAGATAGAACAATAAAAAGTGAAATTGCAATTAGTTATTTTAAAAATATTGAAGGTCTTTGATATAAAATAGCATCAACTTGTAAAACTGCTTCAATTACGGCTAATTTATGGACTTCACGTAATAATCAAGGTTATATTAGTATTACCTGCTATTGGATAGATTCGAATTGGTTATTATATAGTGTATTATTGTGCTGTGAAAAAATGGCATATCCATATACTGCAGAATCTATTCACCAATTTCTTTCAACAAAATGTAATGAATTTGGTCTTAAAAATAAAATTATATGTACTATTACAGACAATGGTGCCAATATGATAAAAGCTATTCGAATGTGGAACTCTATTACTCAACTTCCTTGTGCTGCACATATATTACAATTAACTGTTAATTTTGCATTAAAAAGAATTAATAAACAAACAAAAAAAATAAAAAAGCTTGTTCATTTTTTTGATTCTCCAAAACAACAAGAAAGATTAATAAAAGCACAAGCTATAGTAATAGAGCGAAATAACTTATCTTTGCCCAAATTAACTTATTCTGAATTTGATTCTAAAAATGAGAATTCTGATGAACAACAAAATATAAATACTATTAAACCTTCTAAACCTCTTCGTCTAATTAAAGATTGTCCAATTCAGTGGAACTCACAATATCATTCTTGGAAAAGGTTATTAAAATTGAAAGATGCGATTATATGGTTAGAAGCAAATTTAAAAATTGTTCGAAATTTAGATGATAGAAAAGACAGACAAAAACTTGGACGCTATTTACCTAATGAAAGTGAATAGAAGTTAATTGAAGAGCTAATTAAAATTTTTGAACCATTTGATCAAGCAACAGTGGCATTTAGTGCTGAAAAATTTTCTACATTATCGATTGTATATCCTACTATTGAAGTCTTAAAACTTGAGTTTACTACAGATATAGATTCGAATTTAGCTAAAGATATTCTTGATGAATCTGGTAAAAAAATTTTTATTATAATAATAAGTCTTTTAGTTACAGTATTAAAAATATTAATGTATAATATTTGTGTTTAAGAATTGTCGTGGCTGATGCTGGAAACGGCTGAAGCTGGAAATCAGGGACCCTGATTTAAAAATATAAACCCTGCCAAAATCCACTTATACTCTTTCATTATAAAAACTAACCCTAAATCCTAATCTAACCATGAAAAAAAAGCTAAAAAAATGCACCCCAAAAAATTTTGAAAATTTCATAATAAAATATTTAAAATTTCCAACTTCAGCCGTTTCCAGCTTCAGCCGCAACAAGAATTAAATATAGATAGTGATAGTGATAATGAAAATAATCTTACTTATTTATCAGAAATATCTGATATCAAACTAATAATTAATGAAGTTAAAAATGCTATTTATCATTCGCTTTGGAGATATTGGAATAATCTAAGTAATATCGGTCTTTTAGCAACTTTATTAGACCCAAGACTTAAACGAATGCAACCTTGGCCTGCTTATTTACGTAAAAATACAATTAAAGAATGCTGTGAACAACTTAATATAATTATTACTAATGAACCTATACAAACTAGTACTTTTTCTAGTATAATCACATTAACTAATCATTATTTTGCATCAATTTTTGATAATAATAATGACCAAAGTGATAATTCGTCTGATAAGTTAGATAAATATTTGGATATTAACAAAGTATCTGAAACAACACAACCTTTAGTGTGGTGGAAAGAACAAGAAAAAGATTTTCCGCATCTAAGTCAACTGGCAAAAAAATACTTATCAATACTAGCTACTTCAATGCCAAGCAAACATTTATTTTCTGATGCTGGAAACCAAATAACACCAAAACGAACTCGTCTTAGTTCTGAAACTGTTTCGCAAATATTATTTTTAAAAAGAAACAGCGATTTAATTAGTATTACATAGTATATAAATTAATATATATATACTTTAAACATATAATCTATTTTTTTAAATAAATATATTACTATTTAATTTCTTTTAGCTTAACTTGTTTCAATATATATAGCTGGTTTACCACTCTTAATAGGACCAAAAAAAAATTATAAACTTGTTAGATTTAGAACAGCGATCTAAAAATTGCAATGTATTATCTCAAATTAGTTAGCTTTTTTTAATATGTATATTTTGGTAACAAAGACAAATCAACTGCTTAATTTGAGGTAACAAAAGTTTCGTTTAAAATATTGCATACTACCGGTAAGATCAAACCATTCTTGTACGTACGTATAAACATATGTATATGTTATAAAAATGTCAAAATATTTAAAAATTTAGATATATATAACCAGGTAACCCAGATTATCTGGGTTATCTGATTATTTTTTAACAAATTGGTTTTGTACCCGGATAAGGCTTTTTTAGATGACAGATAACCCAGAGAAGAAATTTATAATAAGTCGAATCTCTAGATCAAGGTATTGCTTAGTGGTTCATAATTCATAACCCCAACATATATGAAGTGATAACTGATACTAATTATAGTGATACCCTAACAAAGCATCATATAGTTCTTTAATTATTGATGAATTAATATTCAATGGTTTGTCTTTATGTAGCCATCATGCAATTTCTATGCTAAATAAAGCAGATTATACGAGTATGACTTTCTTGAAAATCCTGTGCTATTGAAAAGTGTCCCAAAGGCTTCTAACTCAAAATGATTCATTATAATCCGAATTATATAAAAACTACAACCAATTCGTATCGAATTTATATTTGCTTTTTGATTAAAAAGAACGACAGCCCCTTTTTTTTCATCTGATATATAATTAGTATTATCCATTACCCAAACTATATATTTATTAATGTCTAATCCATTTTTTTGGATGTGTGAAATTACTACATTCGAAATTACTTCTGCATTACATTTTGTAATGTTTTCTAATAGAGCAATTAATGCAACAGGGTTTTGATTCTTTTCGCTTCAGAATTGATAACAAAGAACTAGATTCTTTGTTTGTTCACGTGTCGATTTATCTATCATTACTCCAAATACTGGTGCATTTATTGCTTTGAAAATATTTTTATTATACTGCAAATCTGAGACATCTTAATGCTATGTATATATAGTGGATCTTGTCAACCAATCTTGAGATGGTTCTCCTGTTAGAAATTTGTAACCTAATTGTATACATTCAGCTGCAGAGTTTAATGACATTTGACCTACTTGCAAAATATTTGTTGCAAGCCAGATAGTATTTGAAGAATAATCTTTTTTATTCTGTTTAAAAATAGATTTGATTTTCTTACAAAATTCAGTATCAGAAATTTGCTTTGAACATCGAACTAGTGAACGAATTTCAGCAATATATTTTAATTTTTGATTTCGAAAATGATGAGCTTTAACACCAAGTGATTGAGTTTGCTTGATTAATGTTTTGTTTTTAGAAGAAAGTTTTTTATTAAATTTTTCTAAGTTTAAATTTTTATCCTGTAAAGATTGATAATCTGAGTTATATTTGTACTGTAAAAACTTTAATCAAGTTAGTTAAACATCTTTCGCTATAAATATGGAGAAATTATTTTCTCTTTGTTTGGACCATTGGGAGTTCGCATAATAGAAATAAAGCTGTTTACTGATGATAGCTCTTTATCAAATAATTGCTCTATAGTTGAAATTAACCTTTTCTTTTTATTAGATACGATAGATGCCTCTTAGTTAGATTCAATAGGTGCTTCTTCAATAGATTTGACAGATGCTTTTTTAACAGAGTCAATAGATTCGATGGATGCTTCAATAGATACTTCGATGAATGCTTCAATGGATTCGATGGATGTTTCTTCATTAGATTTGATAGATTTGATAGATTTGATGGATGTTTTTTCATTAGATTCGATGAATATTTCTTCATTAAATTCACAGATGCTTCTTCAATAGATTCAATAAATGTTTTTTCGATAGACTTGATGGGTGCAAGTGCTGTTTCATTAAATTGCTTGTTTTTGTTACATTTTTTAAAACATGCATTCTTTAAGTGAAATCAGCATTTATACAATTTATAGATACCATGTTTAATTAGATGTGCAGACTTAATGACCAAGAATTTTAAAGTGAAAATTTGAGAAGATTGATATTAAATTCCAAATAACTAAACTATAGAACGAATTTTGCATTATTTCTAAAAAAAAAACTTATCAGCTACTTTAAAGTTGATACAGGCAACCAAATGAAACAACTTAATTAAAATAGGTGAAAAAACATATATTCGTATAAGTAATATTCAAAACGGCTCTATAACTTTGTAGCTATAGTGCACAAGAATCAACTTACATTAAATCGTCAACAGAAAAAAAAAATTGCAACTTGTGCATCTAAAAAAGCAAGACCCAATTTTATATATAGAAAACATATTAGTAATCTATCACTGTAAAATCATTAATAAGTTAAATTATTAAATGACTACATATAGTTTTGATCTATATAGTACATCACCAACCCTAATGGCCCATGCATATCAACTGAAGACTAGATCAGCCGGATTGTGAATATAGAAGGCTTTAGCAGGTTTAAGGGTAGGGTGTCTGTAGATCATTTTTAATAGTAATCATGTGGTATTCATATGAAATCATGTGATTGACCAATCAGAATCGTAAAAACAAC